GGAGAGAGAGAGAGAGAGAGAGAGAGAGAGAGAGAGAGAGAGAGAGAGAGAGAAGACGAGAATGCACCAGGTCAGGATATAAGTTCCCATCCCTCAGGGGCTTCAAGCAGGGACCTGAGGTTCTGGTGTGTGTGGGCTGCCAACCACCATCACCCCTGTTACCCTACCCTGGAGCCTCTGTGTACCTGCAGGGCCTGAGAAAGGGTTCTGTTAGTTTCTAGAGCTGGTGGGATGGCTGGTGGATTTCTTCTCCCAGCTCTGTAGGGTGTGATGAACAAAGCCACACCCGCTCTGGGCTTCTGGGAAGCATGCCCTCCACAGCCTGCCCTGCTTCTGTGGTCAGCAGCCGTCCTCCGCATCCCAGGCCCACTGCCATGTCCCTCCTCTATCTGTTTCTGTTCTTCCTTTTCCCAAGGATGCCATTTGCCCCAGCTCTGGGGTTTGTCACCCAGTGTGGCCTCCCTTAGCTAGCATCTAAAGACTCAGTCTTCAAAGAGAGTCATGTCCTGAGGTTCTGGGTAGAAGTTTGGGGGAACCCTGTGTGAGCTGGTCCCCACATCTTCTTTCCCTAGTACCTCCACAGTGACACTGTAAACCTTCTGACTGCTTTCTTCACCTGCCCCAGCTGTGGAATATGGGGTGCACTTGGGGAGTCTGGTCTGGGGTATTTCTCTTGAGTCCAGCTCAGTGACCCGCATCATGGAGAACAGAGGGTCACAAATAATTTGGGGATGGTCACAGCTGCTGAAAGGGTCCCCCCCTATGGTCGCCTGCAGTGCACCTGCCTGGGCATGGGGTCCTTCTAGGCTGGTGTCTTGCTGGAGGGTCACTTGACCAGGCTTTCCTGTATTTTCTACATGTGCCTTTCCATTCCTCCCATGCCCTGTGGTCAGCGTATTAATTTGTTTGCTTTGTTCCCCTTTCCAGAAACGGGAAGGCCTGCTGCACTCCAGCCACATCTCAGAGGAGCTGACCACAACCACAGAGTAAGTGGACAGTGGCTGGCCTGGCCCTGAGGGCCCTGTGCCTCATGGGAGTTGGCCTTCGGGGCCCTGTACCTTATGTATAATGACCTATGCTTCATGGGAGCTGGCCCTTAGGTACCCATTCCTTATGTAAAGTGTCCCTCACGGGAGCTGGGTTTTGGAGCCCCCTGCCCTGTGTGAGCTGGGTCCCAGGCTTCTCCTTCAGTGGGGGGTGCCTGACTGGGTGGCCCTGTCTTCCTCTCCGTGTCCCTTGGTCTTAGTGTGGTCTTTTCATGCTAGTGCCTGCCTCCTCCCTCTATCCACTTTCTTCTGAGCTTTCCAAATCAGAGTCTAACTACCCTCAGAAGATTTCTCATTCCCTAATTTAGAAGGTGAGCTTTAAGAATGTCTGATAGGAGCTAGAGAGATGGTTCAGTGAGTAAATGCTTGTCATGCAAACATGAGGACCCAGGTTAGGATCCCAGCACCTACATTAAAAAAACAAACAAGTCAGGTGTGAGGGTATGTATCTGTAACCCCAGCATTGTGTGTGTGTGTGCCTGCCCGTGTCAGAGTCAGGAGGATCCTAGAGCTCAGTGGCCAGCCACTCTAGCCAACTCAACAAACTACAGGTTCACTGAGAGAGACTGTCACAGATAAGGTGAAAAATTGGCCTCTGGCCTCCACATTTTTGCTTGCATGCATGCATATGCGCACACACACACATACACACACTTTTTTTTTCATTAAAAAAGAATGTCAGAGGGTATCATTTGTTAGCTTAAGATGGTCAAGGGATCAGGTACCCCCTGGTCATTTTCTAGTCTACCCTCTTTACTTGTTAGTCACTATTAGCTCCCTCAGAGGAAAGAGCTGTGTGTCCAGTCAGAACTTTCCTTTTGTGAGCACAGCTGAGCTCTCTGATCTCTTCCACAAAGCTGGAGGGTGATTTTTTTCAAAAGTCTGGAAGACCTTCACTCTAATAGCAAACCAGCTCGTGTACCCCATGTGCAGTACTTAGGAGCCCCTACAACACCCCAGGAAGCACTGTAAAAGCCCCCCGCATTTGTTCCTCTTGACCAAACCTGTTTCAATGTTTAAAAAATGGATGGTGTCAGCTAGCTCACCAGCTCCATTCAGAGACACTAACTACAGGCTGTGCATCATCTGTGGCCGTTCTACAGCCAGTTGACACAGAATCCACTCAAGTGTGGGGTGTGGGGATGATGCACTACCCCGCACCCCCGCAGTCCTCAGGGAGCTCCAAGCCTCTGCAAGGGAAGGGTAGGGAGCTGGGGATAGGGTGGGAATGTGGTTCTGTGCCAGCGCCACAGGCCTTAGGCTGCTTAGAGGAGCAGAGGTTGGGGTTGGGGCTGGTGATCTATAACAGGACATACTATCTGCAAGCCATTTCGGTTACTTACAAGTCCTTAGTCAGCCGTGCGGGCTGGGCTCAGCGGGGTGGTCCCTCTGCTGCCCTGCTGAGGTTGGTTCTGTGATGTCTATAGCTGAGGGTTCCCCAGGGATGGCTGGACTGAGATGGCCTCTCCTTCTGCCTCCCCCCATGAGCCAGCTTCCTCCTCAGTTGGTGGTCTGAGGCTAGTTCTTGGCCACAGACCCTCAAGGCTCCATCTTGGATTTTTGTACCATGTATTCCTTTTATAGATCAGAGCAAGTCTCAGGTTAGCTTGGGTCAGGTGTTTGGGGGACAGATGTTATCTTCTGGGGAGAGGTGGTTGGTCTGGGTACATTGCCTCGGGAGGTGTCCAGCCATGGAAATTGAGAGATAAAAAGTAGATGTATGATGAATAGAGCTGATCAAGAGAAAGCAGAGTTTATTAGCAAAGGAACACATGGGACAGATTCCCTTCTGCGCAGGGAAAATGTCTGCATGGGTCGTGAGCTGGGGCCTTTTTTAAGGGGGGAGGCTTCTGCTTCCTGCAGAAGGCAGGAAGATGTATTTTTTTTTTTTTTTAAGTTGGGGTGGGGGTGGAGCAGGACTGTTAAAACCTGTCCTCTTTAGAGATCAAAGGGGAAGCCTGCTGTGTTGGCCAAACAGTGGAGAAAAGTCTGCTTCTCTTGACTTTGAGACCCTGTTGGTGAGGGGGCAGGGCTATCTGAACCTTAACAGAAAGCAGCTGGGCCTTTTTTTTTTTCTTTCTTTTTTTTTCTGTCTTCTGGGGACGAGGCGGGGGGCAGAGAAGGCAGCAAGATGGATCTGGGAGCTCCACAGTCATTGGGGGTAAAACCTGAAGTCAGGGAGTGTGTGTGGGCAGATGCCTTCCCAACAGTTCACCAGCTGTGCCTAGCACTCCAGAGGCCTGCTGTGTGCCCACTGGAGCTGGGCCCTGGGAGAGTCTGGGCAGGTGGCGGGCACAGTGCCTTTTTTCCATGGCTGGGGGTCAGGCTGACAAGAAGATGAACGTGAAACCAGGCACAGGGGCTTTGGGAAGTGCTGTGGGCTATGGGGAATTTTCAGAGGCAGAGTGCACTGGAGTCAAGGAGGGGGGCACAGTTCCATTGAGGCCACTTCTACTGGGTACCAAGCAGTCATGAAGGGAGCTGGGATTTTCCAGCCCCTTATCAGCCTACCAGCCTCCAGTCTGGCCTCCAGTTTATTGATGACGTCACGGTACTACCACCTCCCATCTGTCCTCTGGTTCCCTAGAGGCCTCTGTGAGGCCACTCCCCAGCCCTCCTGACTTGGCAAGCAGGAGCACCAAGCTGCTGTTTCGGTCTCAGTGTCTCTGTCTCTTTGTAGGCTTTTCAGTAAATGTTTATTTAATAAGATGGAGTCCTAGGACTTGGCCTAGAAGTGTCTGAGGACTTAAATGAGTCTCCTGGCTTCCAGAAAGGGACCACATAGGTGGCCTAGATCTTGACGGGAAACTCATCTTCATCTCTCTTGTGGTTGGCTCCAGGACCAGGCCTCATGGGTCTTGGGAATCTTTGGTCTCACCTCACTGCAGAGGCTGGGTTCGTTACAGTGTCACCCTCAGTCTGCTAGATGTGGCTGTGGGATGCTGTTTGCAGCTTGAATTATCCCTGTGCTCTCGCACAGGGTCTGTCGCCTCCAACTGGCATCCCAGGGCAGTGGCTACCTCAGGAAAGAAGGTAGTTAGTAGCAATTCTTATGCAAACGTGAGCCCTTCCCCACAGTCTACTCGCCTCTGTTGGGTTAGAGCAGGGACGACTGAGGGGAATGAGTCCAGGTTCCACTTATGTTGGTAGCCCTGGGGTGATGTGACAGGGTCTGATCAGCTCCACCAGCACCCCCCCTTTTTTTTTTTTTTTTGGTGTTTTTGAGACAGGGTTTCCCTGTAGCCCCAGCTGGCCTGGAACTCACTATGTAGACCAGGCTGGCCTCGAACTCATAGAGATTCACCATGCCCGGCTCACCCGCATCCCTTTTAAGACCGGGGACTGGGTTCAAGCAAACTTCTGTCCTAGTTATTTCATATTGCTGTGATTAAACACTGACTGACCAAAACCAATTTGGGGAGGAAAGGGTTCACTTCACCTTACAGCTTATAGTTTGTCATGGGGTGGGGTGCGGGCAGGGCAAGGGGTTCCTCAGGGCAGGAACCTGGAGTCAGGAACTGAAGCAGAGACCTTGGAGGAACACTGCTTACTGGTTTGCTCCTCTAGTCTGTGCTCAGTCTGCTTTCTTACACAACCCAGGACCACCTGCCCAGGGCTGGCACTGCCCATAGTGGGCTGGGCCCTCCCACATCAATCAGCAATGAGGAAAATACCTCACACATATGGCCACAGGCCAGTCTAATAGAGGAAATTCCCCAGTTGAGGTTCCCTCTTCCCGTGTGTCAAGTTGACAATAAACTACCCAGCATACCATCTGACTCTCTCTCCCCCTCTCCTTCCTCCCCTTCTCCCTTCCTCCCTCCTTCCCTCATTCACAGGATGATGATGGGCCGATTTGGTAAGTACCCTGGCAGTGGTCAGATGGGATACTCTGAAGTCCCTGGGCACACAGGGGCCATCCAGGAAGCTCTGGGGCTCACAGTGTCCTGTGGGGGAGGAACCTGAACAGTGGGCACTGGGGCAAGAGGACTGAGGATTCAGGGAGGGAAGGATGCCATTCTGGAGAGGGGCATTAGCTGGGGGGGGGGAGGAAGGGAGTGAGGGAAGGAAGAGGGAGGGAGGGAGGAGGAAGGGAGGGAGGATGAGGGATGTTCTTGTTCCAGAAGCTTTCCTGCTCTGGTTGATTTCCCCTGGGTCCTGCAGTTGTGACTCTCTCGCCTCTCTGTTCCAGTTTGTAAAATGGGTCTGTACAGGGGCCTGGTGAGATAGCAAGGGCTCTGCTTGGCCTGAGCTATGCTTCTTTCTGGAGTAGTTACACTGAGTTTTCAGGATTGTTCCAAAGAAGGGATGCTGTCTGCCCACTTTGTACTAAATCACCCTACCCCATGGTCTGGGTGAGAGGGGGCAGACAAAGGGACCAATGTTTAAACTCCCAGAGGTGGAAGCCTGGCCTTGTACCCTAGGCAAGAAGGCTACTGTGGAGAAAAACTCAAAACTAGAAAGTGCTGGACCACAGTTCTCCAGTGAGCAGGAGGGGACGAAGGCTGTTAGGAGAAAAGTGGACGTCAGGTAGATGTTCCTGAGCTTGGCACTGGGGAGTCCTTGGAGGTGGGGCCGCCACCCCCAAAGTCCCACAAAGAGTCAGTCTCTGACCTGGAGGTTGTGATGAAAAGAGGCTGGCGCATTACTGCTGTGAAGAGCGGACGTGGTTCTGATGGTCTGGAAGGTCTTGAGTTTGGAAGAGCGCAGCAGCTGTTGGCCCCTGAACCCTCTCTAGTGGATAGACACTAGTCCTGATGGGAAAATTTACAGGCTTTTACATTTTTCTGACAGCAACTCAGCCTTTGCTCCTCCTCCCCCATCTTTAATGTCACTATTATTAAACAAGAAATAAAGGCAGGTGGCTCCCTGAAGGAGAGGCAGGGTACAGGCACCTGTCCCTGTCCAGGTGGAGTCTAGTTTGGAGCCTGGTGTCTCCCTGGTTCCTCCTCTCCCTCCTTCTTGCAGGGAGGAGTCTCTGAGGATGGAAAAGTGATGGATAGGAGGACGTCTGAGCTTGGAGCTGGTGCTTCTGTTTTGAGTTGGCCCCATTTCAGGTTCAGTGCCTTTGTCTGGGGGAGGTGAGCCTGGGTCTGTGGGGTTCCGGGAGCCTGGCAGCTGGGGAGCACACCAGGCCAGGTGCACAGGGTGTGGCTCCTGAGGAGAGAGTCAGGTGCTTCAGGACTCTGCCACAGCTCTGAGGCCATCTGAGGCCGCTCTTGAGCTCCACAAGAGGCCTCAGGGGCTGTGTGCACTCCTTCCCAGGATCCAGCATGAGATGAAACAGGCTATTAGTCGGTGACAGGCAATTAGTTCCGCCCCCGCCTTGTGCTTCTGCTGACGCAAACTCCAGGTCTCCTAGTTACGAGTCCCCTGGCTCCCCGGGATCCTCTTGGGGAAGCAGTGCACATCAGGTCTAGCCTTCGTGGTCACACGCCTTGTGCTTCTGCTGACGCAAACTCCAGGTCTCCTAGTTACGAGTCCCCCGGCTCCCCGGGATCCTCTTGGGGAAGCAGTGCACATCAGGTCTAGCCTTTGTGGTCACATCTGGCCAGGGTCTGGCCACCTTTGGGCTCCACAGCCTCCCCAGGATGTTGGCCCCTAGCTAGCCCTTCCAGGCAGTTTCTTTGCACATTGCTGGGGTGGAAGGGGGTAGTCTCAGAGCACCCCGGTCATGTCCGCTTCCTGTCCACAGTCCTTGCAGTGGTCTCTAAAGACCTCCTAGACACTCATCCCCTCTGCCCTCCTCGTCCTGCCCCATGAGTGTCCATACCCAGCCCTGTGTCCCCTTCACTTCTCTTGCCACCCAAGGTGTTCTTCTGAATTAGCCTTGGTTCCTTCCTTCATTGGCTTAACTGTCACTTATAAGGGATTCCCCACCACCACCACAAACTAGCATGCATACTCTGTCACCCTCAGCTTGTATTATCTGCCTCTGTAACCCCAGGACCTTTGCAGAGCCAGGTCTACCCAGGAGTCTCCATGATTGCATGTTATCCTCCCCATGCCCCTCACAGACAGCGGTACAGTTATTTGTAGGCATGTCCAACACCTCTTTCTTCACTCAGGAGCTGCACTCAGGAGCTTTGAACTGGAAGCATTCTGTAGGCTGGGGCAGGCTGGTGCCACTGGCACCCAGCCTGTGTGCTCTCAGGAGCCAGCCCTAAACCGCTTCTGCATTAAGGAGCTTCCAAGAGAGTTAGCCGATCCCCCTGCTCTGGGATTTCTGGAGTGGTTGCCCTCAACCTGCTTGGCTTTCAAGCGCTCTGTGTAGGAGGAGGGGACCCTCTCTGGTCACCGCCCTGTCACTCCTGCAGGTGAAAAGTTCCTAGCCCCCGGCCTGGCTGAAGGGAGGAACAGTCTCCCTGGAAACAAGCCTCCTGGGAGCTGGGAGGTTAGAGCCTGGTCTCCATGACAACGGCTTTGCCGGGTTGCCTCTTTAGCGGGTGACTCTTCCTCCTCCCCGGCTCCCCAACTTGGAGCCCATTCTGAGGTTGTCAGAAGGGGGGGTGTGAGAAGGGAGGAAGCACCTGCCTTATGGTGTCCTCACCTTCCTGTCACCCCTCTAGCAGAGCCAGTTCTAAAACTCTGACCTGATGTCCACACACCTGGTGGCAGTGCCTGCCAGGAGTTCTGGTCGGCACCCTCAGGTCACCTGGTCTTGAACCAGCTCCGTGCTCTCTAGTGCTTCATTTTGCATATTCCGTTACCTCTGGCTACGAGTCCCTTCCCCTTCGTCCCCTCTGAGCTCTCCAGCCTGGCTCAGATCCCAGAGCTCCTTCCTCTGTCCCACAGTCCCTCCTGCCCATGGTCTGTATGTACAAACTCAGGTGCTGCCAGGAGTCAAGGGCGGAATATAGTTAGATTATAAAATGAGAGATGGCCAACCCCCAGCCTCAGTGATGGAGACTCCGAGGAGGGGGAACCTGGGGAAATAGGACCCTCTATTCCTTATCCTTAGGGGGAGCTCCCTGACTCCAGTTGCGTGTGTGACTGTGGTCCTAGCCTCTGCTCTTCAGGAAAGAATCTTCTAGTCTAAAAACTTGCCTGCAAAGAAGACAGCCTGTTGGGGACCAGGGGTGCAGATCTGGGGACTCCAGGTAGCAGTGGTTGTGTTGACCAGTTCTCCTGGTCTGCACCCTTCCCCTGGCTGGTGGCTTCCCCAGGATAAGAAGGGAATTGAGCCGGGCGTGGTGGCGCACGCTTTTAATCCCAGCTCTTGGGAGGCAGAGGCAGGCGGATCTCTGTGAGTTCGAGGCCAGCCTGGTCTACATAGTGAGGTCTAGGACGGCTGGGGCTACAGGGAGACCCTGTCTCAAAAAGACAAAAAAAGAAGGGAATTGATGGCAGAATATGCCTGTGGGCTTGTTCCCTGTGGCCACATCCTGGTTCTTGCTCCACAGTGGCGGGGAGGGACAGTGTTCCTGCTCAGCAGGAAGAGACGTTTAGCAAGGGGTGAAAGTGTCTCAGCCTGTAGTCATGCTTTGGGGATTTGAACCCAGCTCTGCCCAGTCCTTAATGCCCCTGTTCAGAGCCCAAGCCCCTCCAGCCATGGGGCCACATGGTATTGTCCCCTAGGCTGAGGTAAGCAGCCAGCGTGGGAGGCATGCGGCAGCTGCCCCAAGTAGCCCGACTCTGCCAGCCCAGCAGTGGCCCAGCTAAATATACCAGTGACGTCAATGCCTGGGCTCCCAAGCTTTGCCACAGCCAGCTTCGCAGGTCCTCACTGCTTCGTGAAGACTAAGCTCCTCTGGCCTCTTTAACAGATTGTTTTCAGGAGGATAATCTGACTTGGATGATTATGGGAGTGACGGCTGGCAGTGGCTGGGGTGGCTTTTGTCCACACTGATGCTTAGGAGAAGGGGCTCTCCCCTCTCCCATAGGCATTTATGTGTGCACACACACAGGCACACACATGCATAGTCCCTTCTTCCCCTTTGCCTCTCACCTCCCTGGAGGCTGAGGAAGAGGCCTCCAGGCTGGGTTGGATGGGCACTTCCTCCAGGCCCTGGCCCTGGTGTCCGCCACCTACCCCTTGGTCTAGGCGGGTAGGGGACTTCCTTTGGACGGCTTAACTGGCTCCTTTCCCCGGAACCTGAGCTTTCTTGGCCACCCCAGCCTGCTTGTTCCTCCTTCCTCCTCCCTGGCCAGGCCCTTGGGTGACACCAGGTAGGTGTGACGGGGTTCCCTCTGGTCCCCCCACCCCACCCAGACTCCATGTTGCAGTTGGACACACACACACACATACACACTGTCCCCGGAACAGAGGACAGGCCTCGTCCCTTCCAGCACCTCCTCCTCCCTCTGTCAGTCCTAGAGACCACAGGTTTCCATGCCCCGCCCCCATCTGTCCCAGGTACCGTCAGATATCAGGGTTCAGAGAGCACTTCTGGAGGACCCCAGATTCTTGTGTCCCTGAACAAAGAAGTGAGGGAGACACAGCTGCAGCAGCGGGAGGAGGACAGGAGAGGCTCCACCTCCACTTCCAGGGGCCGAAGTGGCTGGAGCAGGCACCCAGGGCCGCTCATTCGCATAGAGTGCGCTTTTCTGAGCATGCTCTGTGGGTTCCACTGGGTTACACGTAGCTTTACGCACAACTTCATGCTTTGCGAGTCTCGGCAGCATCGGGGGTCCAGCATTCCAGCAAGCCACGGGTCAACTGCAGACAGTACAGAGGCACATGCAGATTTTCAGAGTTTTAAAACAAATTTCCCGACAACCTTGATGGGCCGGGGATGTGCAGTGTGAGAAGGGGGGGCAGCCTCCCTCTTGGTCGGCTTGTTTTCATGTACTACTTTTGCACGTCTTTGCCCACTGGTGGCCTCAAGCAGTTGGAAAGGCAGGGACTTTGGTGATGATTTGGGGTGACTTGTGCGCAAATGGCAGTTAGAGCAGGTTGGGGTTCACCAGGGAGGAAGAAGGTGGAAGGGGCACCTTGGGAGAAGTGGGCTGCTGGTCCTTATAGGTACCCCCAGAGGATTCTGCCTAGGGTTGGGGTTCCTTTACTCTGAGCATCTCTGTTCCTTCCCTGTTGAGTCGGGGAGTGGACGATCAGTATTGTCTTCCAGGAGAGGCTGATGGCCCAGCAGAGGACATGGTAGGGGGACATAGTGCCATTTTAAGAAGTGATAAGTGCAGGCCTGAGATGGTTGGGGTTCACCAGAGAAGGTGACCTTGGAAAGCAACCTGGGACAGTGAGGCTGTGTGAACGGCAGGTGCAAAGACCTTGAAGCATGTGCCCAGTGTTCGCAGGAGAGCGGAGAGGCTGTTCCAGAAAGCCCAAGGGATGTGTGGGAGGCTACCCAGCTTGTCATACCCCCAGGCCCTCAGGAGAGAGGGTGGACTGTATTCTAAGTGATGTGAGGCGGGGCTTCAGTGGGCCAAGTGAGGTGAAGGGGTCCAGGGGTACTTTACAGGTCTCTGCCTGCTGACAGGGAGGAGGCCGAGTGAGCTGGAGGCTGTAGCCATCCCCAGGGAGGGGTGTCGGGCTGGGCATGGGGTCAGCAAGCCTAGAGTAGAAGCAGTCAGATTTTCAGAGGAGTTAATGACAGAATCTAGGAAAAGCCAAGTGCATGGTGGGAGTGGGCAGGTGCCTATGTGTGATCTAGTCTCCCCTACCCAGTTAGAAGGGTCTGAGGAGCCAGGTCCAGCCTTTGCTGTTCACAAAACAGCTCTGTAGTCTGGTTTATGGAGATACAGCATCAACCAAGGGCTCCTCTGCTCTGACAGGAAGGTAAAAAAGGGACAGGCTGGGAACCCTGAGGTGTGGAGTATCCCAGGGGGTGTATGTCAGGGGGCTGTCCCCCGATGGGTGGCAGGGGACCAGGATCAGAGCAGCAGGAGCCCTTCTCAAAATCTCCTCTGTGCTTGCTCTCTTGCATGTCATGGCAGAGCGGGATGCCTTTGACACACTCTTCGACCATGCGCCCGACAAGCTCAACCTGGTGAAGAAGGTAAGGCACCTGGGCACTGGGAACCAGGGTCCGACTAGACTCTGTCCAGACTCTCTGCAGCCCCAGCGCCTGCTGGGTTGGAGATAGAAGATGTTTGAAGTCTCTAAGGTTTGCCCGGGAGAGAGTTCAGTGGCTAGGATAGCTTCCCCCGGGAGTTCTGATGTTTTCGGGACTTGTCAGAGCCTTTACCATGCTGCCGGGGTTGCTGGTCTCCCAGAAGGACTTTGACAGGCTAGTTTGTTGCTAGTGGAGTTTGTTTATTCATTTTGGACAGCACACATTCTGATGGAATTGTACATTTAGAAAATTTTGGTCAGGCTCAGATAGGGAGGCCGTTAGTTCCTGGAAGTGCATTTTTGGAAGGCCTGGAACCCTCCCAGGTCTTTCCTGGGCCAGAGCAATCCTGGAGCCCTTGGATGCTGAGAGCCATGCCTTGTAACCTCAGAGAAGCATCCAAGCTCCAGGCTACCACATCAGGTCCCTGGAGTCCTGGCAGGATCATCTGGTGTATAGACATCAGTCTGATTCTCTGGCTCCCTGTGGCCTGTGGCAGGTCTGACACTCCAAGCCTCAGTCTTCCCCATGGGTAGGCCAGGGTGGGTAAAGAGCAAACCCTTGCATTTGTCTCCGGGCTCCCTATTCGTGCCCCTGGGGCCAGTTGCAGTGTGTGGATGAAACTTGGATGCCAAAGCCTCCCCTGGCTTCCCTGACCCTGGCCCCCATCCATACTCATAGCCTAGGGGTTTACAGTTGTGTACTAGGCTGGGTGCCCACGTGGCCTGCTTCTACCCCCTCCCTTCCCAGGGCCAGCTCAAATTCCTTTTCCCTGACTTCCCTGGGCCTGCTTCCCTCTGCCCTGGGGGCTTACAGAACACCCTTACTGTGTAGGACCTTGTGACAGGACCTTGTGATGTCTCTGTCCCACCACTAGAAGTACATGAAGTCTTCAGGGCTCTTCACTGGGCCCCCTTCTGTCCTTCCAGCCCCGGCACTGGGCAGTGTGCCTGGATTTGGATGGTTGAATACTCGGTGATTTCCTAGGGTGGGGCAGGTACTGAGTTTGGGTTACTGCTGGGCTTGATGGCTGAGGGGGTTACAGGGGTTACCATGTAGTATTTTAAGCTTTTATCAGAGAGAGGCCTGTATCCCAGATACACAGGTTACAGGACCCAGAGAATGGTCATGGCTGAGATGGAGCCCTGAGGATGCCATGAGTGTGGCCAGCACACCCTCCCATTGAGTGCATGGGTCTCCGGGGTTACCTCTGGGATATGTCTGTAGATTTCATTCTTCTCATATGACTGTTGTTAAGAGCATGGCACATGCATGTGGACTGGACCCGAGAGCTCAGCTTTGTGAAGCGGCATCCTGTTGGCACTGTCTCATTAAAACTAGGGGATTGGCATAGGAACATGGACCCTACCACATGCAATTTGTGTTTTGGCCCCATTGGCGGGTCTGGAGTATCTCAGCCCTAGAGCACTCAGTCTACAGTGCTGGCTGCTGAGGAATCTGGTGGGTGATTGCTGATGGGTCCTTTGTCTCTGCCTTGACAGTCTCTCATCACCTTTGTGAACAAACATCTGAACAAGCTGAACTTGGAGGTGACCGACCTGGAGACCCAGGTAGGCAGTCCCTCTGCCCTGCGCTTCCAGCAGCTCTCAGCTCGGGTGGGGTGTGGGGACGGGTGGGACCACTTCGTCCATCATAGGAGGTCCAGCCACACTGGGAACTCCAACCTTCTGCTGAAAGGCTGAAGTCATGGACTCTGCAGCCTGGAAGTCCAGAGTCATGGTGTGGGCAGGCTGTCTCCATTCCATGCCTGGCTCCCCTGCGTTCCTGCTGGTGGGCTATGGTGTTGCTGTATTCGTATGTGTTTTATGTCTGTCTTCCAGTGGCCTCCCTCCTGTGTGTCTGTGTCCGCATGCCTGTGTTTGTGTGCTGTGTGTTTCCCCGGGGCTAGCTTCTAGAAATGGAGGCGTGAGAGTGAGATTGCTACAGGTTGGACTAGTGCCCACCCTAACGACTCCGTCACAACTTATTCTATCTCCAGAGATCCTGTTTCCAAGTGAGGTCACAGGCACAGGTTCTGGGGATTAAGATTCTGATTCATTTTGAGGGAGACACAGTGCAACTCATAGCACCCCTCAAAACTCTACCCCGCTCTGCCACAGGCCCTTTGCATGTGCAGGCCTATTGGTCTAGAACATTCTGTGTCCCCGCCCCCCTTTTCTGTAGCAGAGATGTTGCATACTTACATTTGGCCCTGTGGTGGCACTGAGCCAGTGCTCTCTAAGTGTCCCTTCCGGGGAGGATGTGATGGCTCAGTGGGTAAACGTGATCGCTGCTAAGCCTGATGACCTGGATTTGATCCCTGGGCCCACACGATGGAAGGAGAGAACTGACTCTCACAAGTTATCTTCTGACCTCACATGTGCACGCTGTCTCTCTCTGTCTCTGATTCTCTCTCTCATACATACACAGTAACAGCAATAGAATAAATGTCCATCCATCCGGCAGATATGGACAAATTACCTCTGCCGTAGGTTTATAAAACACACCCTCCCCAAAGCCACGCAGCATCGTGGTAACACATCTCAAAGCACACAATGAGCCTTGAAAGCAAAGTATAATTTTCCCCGGATTAGCTGTGTACCAAGTTGCGAGTCTGAGTTCTCAGAGGAGCTTATCCTCCTTAAACCCCTGGGCGATTTCTTCCGCTCCTCTCTCTTTCTTTAACTTCTCTCATCTGCTTTTCTAATTAAAAAAGTAATTCAGGCTCATTGTAGAAATGTCTGAAAATGAAGATAAGAAAAACAAACAAAATCACTCTAATCCTGTCACCCGGAGGGTGTTGTACCCCAGGGTTTTTTCCCAGCCTCTGCCGGTGCGGCCGGTCTCGGAAATGGTCGGTGGCTCGGGGCTGGGTGACGCTCCATCACAGAGCCCTTGCCTAGCATGCCCAAGGCCCCCGGGTTCCTCCCCAGCCCTGGTAACAGAGAAAATAATTGTCTCCCTGTTAGGTGTGAGGCTGCTCTGTTGTCTAAAGCAACCCTTGCTGCCTGCCTGTGTTCCCCCATACCACGTGTCCTGCACAGCTATTTGTGCCCATTTCCCCAGGGTTAGCTTCTAGAAACCTAGAAACAGAAGCAAGAGCAAAGTAGGGACACCGTGAGGCCTGGAAAGTCTGGCCATGGAAGTTGGCACTGGCCACGTGGGCAGCCGACCCATATCCGCTGCAGCCTGCCCAGCACCTCTCGTCTGGTCCCCCGGTGCTCGTAGCCAGAGCACCTCAGATCGGTATGAAATTTGTTTGATTCTTGATTTAGCTCAGTGCTTTCCTCCCCATCGTCACGCAGGTAAGGTAAGCACAGTCTGGCTTATCTCTCTCTGGTGTCCCTGTGAAGTCTTCACTCGGCACTGGGCCCCTGGGAGGCCTTCTCTCTGCTCACAAATTACCTATGCTTTTTGCTTCTTAGAGGCAACTTCTCCTGAGGGCCCTGGCTCTTGTCATCGGATATTTGTGGTTTTTCCCTCTTCCACTTAAATGCCGTGGGACGGCGTCTCTGAGGCCTGCCTGAATTGTGGAACGCTGGGCTGGAAAGGTCTGAGGTTTTAATAAAACGCCTTACCTTCTGCAAGCTCCCATTTACCAATTTGTGAGTTGCCAGTCGCACTCAAGGCCTTCTAGGCGGCGCAACCTTTCCTGCCTACGCAGGACTCTTACCTGAGAATCTTCTAGAACAGCATTGACTGATGGACCTTCCTTTAATGATAAGGTATTCTGTGGCCACTGGCCGGAAATGTGGCCAGTGCCCTCAGAAGCTACCCTTTCCATTTCAATTAGTTTTAAAGCACCAAATGGAAAGGGCCAGCGAGATGGGTCAGAGGGTGAAGGAGCTTGCTGCCAAGGCTAACAACCTGAGTTCAGTCCCTGGAACCCACATTGTAGAGGGAGAGAACTGGCTCTCACAAGTTGTCTTCTGACCTTCGCACATGTACTGTGGCACACGCATGCTTGCATGTGCACATACACATGAGTAAATAATGTAATTACAAAATGAGTCCGTTCCGCAGTTCTGCGTATTGGTTACACAGTAGTGTGGTGACGGCTGTCCGCTAAGAGTGGGAAGTTTTGTGTGTAGCTGCAGTTATAAAAGGACTAGTGAAGAAGAAAAGTCAGCAGAGGCCAGGCAGGAAAGAACAGATGCTGTGTGAGCTCCCCCAAATCAAACCCCTGGAGACATAAAAGAAGATGACAGGTGACAGCCCATGCCTCTAACCTCAACACTTGGAGGCTGAGGTAGGAGGAGTGCTGTAAACTTCAGACCAGCCTGAGCTAGAGAACATGTTTTAAAAGAAAATGGCGCTGGGGGTTTGACTCAGTGGGTAAGGGTGCTTGCTGTACAAGAATGAAGACCTGAGTTCAAGTCCCCAGCACCTTCATAAAAAGCAAGGTATGGTCAATGCACATGTAACCCCACTACTGCAGGGGGTGGGACTGGAGGATTGATGGGGTTTGATGGCCAGCCAGACCAACTGAAAAACGGTGAGCTCCAGGTTCAATGAGAGACCCTGTCTCAAGGGAATAAAGTAGAGCGTGACAGAGAAGGACTTCTGTGTCCTCTGGCCTCTGCACCCACACCTGTAGGGACATGCACACAACAAAACAACAAAATTCTAGCATTCAGGAAGCTGAGGCAGGAGGATGATTTTGAGTTTGAGGCCAGCCTGGCTGTCATGGCCCTTGCTGCCCTGCCACACCTAATTCCTTAGGTCCTTTTCAACAGAACCTGTAGCCTCTTAGGTGGTAATGGTAGTAAACACCCAAAATCTCAGCACTAAGGACCTGAGGGAGAAGAATTGTGAGTTTGAGGCCAGCCTGGGATACATAGTATGACCACGTATCAAAAGAGTTTGAGGCCAGCCTGGGATACGTAGTATGACCATGTATCAAAAGAGTTTGAGGCCAGCCTGGGATACATAGTATGACTGTGTCTCAAAAGACTTAAAGGAGAAGTGAATGAATGAATGAATGAATGAATGGGGATTCCTTAGGGCTTGAAAACCAGTGTTTAATGGGGACAGAGTTCTGGAGACAGCTGGTGGTGACAGTATGCATGTTGATGCCTCTCTGCATTCAGAAGCAGTAAAGATGGCGGCTGGCAAGATGCTTCAGCAGGTAAAGGCACTTGCTGCCAAGCCTGATGACCTGAGTTCAATCCCTGGGACCCACATGGTAGAAGGAGAGAACTGACTCCTGCAAGTTGTCCTCTGACCTCCACATGTGTGCCGTGGTATGCCCATGCATGTGCACACATACAAAATAAATAAAAATGTGATAAAAAATTTAAAGTAGGGTCTAGAGAGATGGCTCAGTGGTTAAGAACACTGGCTGCACTTGTGGAGGACCTGGGTTCGAATCCCAGCAACCACATGGCAGCTAACAACTGTCTGTTACTCCAGTTCCAGGGATCAGATACCCTCTTCTGACCTCTGTGGGCATTGCATGACATGGATGCACTTACATACATGCAGGCAATACACTCATACATGTAAAATAAAATTTAAAGTGGTTAAGATGGTAAGTTTCATGTTGTGTATATTTTACCAAAATGAAAAATGACTTACCCACATTCACACTGAGTCACATGGTCACTGGCTACCATCTTGGGCAGCACAGTTCTGTGATAGGAGCCGTACCTGTCTCCCCTGTGGGTCACAAGTGGACCACCAAGCTGCCACTCAGGACTGGGTCCCTCAGAGATACTGTTTCATAGTGGTGCTGAGTCCCACCTTGGGGATGCTGACTGCCTGCTGACCCTGGATTTCCTTCCGCTGGGTTGGACTAGTTGACCTGCCCTCGGAAGTCCACTGCCCCTGCAGTAAACAGAACCACCCCCTGTTTCAGCTTGTTCGGGGTGGAATGGGGCTGTTGAGAGTGGGGGATTCTTTCAGCTTGTTCGGGGTGGAATGGGGCTGTTGAGAGTGGGGGATTCTTTCAGCTTGTTCGGGGTGGAATGGGGCTGTTGAGAGTGGGGGATTCTCAGGCTGGAGGATTGGCTCAGTGGTTAAGAGCACTGGTTGCTTTTGCAGAGGATCTGGGTTCAATTCTGAGCACCCACATGGCAGCTAATAACTATCCATAACCAATTCCAGGGGACTCTGACGCCCTCCCCTGTCCTCTGCAGACATTGCATGACATGGGTGCACTCACATACATGCAGGCAGTACACTTGTACACATAAAATAAAAATAATAAAATTGTTTAAAAAGAGTGGTTGTCCATTCTACATTCTTGTCCCTTGCTGTGGGTGACTAAGGGACAACCCTTCTTGCCTGGAGTGCTGCTGTGAGTTCAGAGGGCAGGGTAGCAGTGCTGGGTGGGTAAGGGGTTTCTGGGGTGGGCGCTGCAGGCTTGGTGGCAGGTGTCTGTCCACACCCCACCCCCGCTCTCCCAGAATTGTCACTGAGTCTTCTCTGTAGTTTGCAGATGGTGTGTACCTGGTTCTGCTCCTGGGCCTCCTGGAAGACTACTTTGTTCCTCTGCACAACTTCTACCTGACTCCCGAGAGCTTCGACCAGAAGGTACGTGCCTGGTCTTCGTTCTTCGAGCAGCCCGAGCCATGCTCGCTGAGGTGGACAGCAGGAGTGACCACTTCGCTGTGTCCTACAGAACAGGAAACCACACAACACGTGGGGCTCAGTTGGATTGTAGCTCTGGGTAGACGCAACAGGAAACCCATTAGTGGCACACGACGCATCCATATCTCTCCCACAGGCTCATGTTGTTTGTAATGGCGGTGATCAAATGCCACACAGACCTCTGGGCTTCCTCCAGATGCTGTGCCCGGGGACGGCACATGCCACTTTGCAGCAGGCGTCCTGCTTCCCTGCTGGGCGTCAGTTCCTTCTATTCCTCCTGACACAACAGGGCTTTTCTCAAATATTTACAGTTACCACCCCTGTGAGTGCTGGGGACAGGTTCCAGGGCCCTCAGGTACCAAAGCCTGCAGATGCTCAGGTCCCATGTGTAAAATGGTGTAGTATTTGCATAAAGCCTACGCACTTCCTCCTGTAGACTTCAAATCCTGTCTGATGGCTTATATTACTTAATGCGATGTAAATGCTATGCAAAAGAGCTGCTTGCTGTATTGTTTATGGGGTGACTGCGGGAAAGCATGTTTGTTCAGTGTGCACGCAGTTCTCCAGACACTGTTCTTCTGCAGCCTGTATCTTCTGCAGATGTGTGTGTATGTATGTGTGTGTGCACATGTGCTTCATGTATGTGTGTATGTGTAGGTTTGTGTGTGTATGCTTATGTGTGTCTGTGTATGTGTGCATGTGTATGTATGCTGAATGTCTGCATCTCTCTCTCTCTCTCTCTCTCTCTCTCTCTCTCTCTCTCTCTCTTTCTCTCTCTCTCCCCACTTCATTTCAGTGGATGTTTTCCTGGGAACATTCCTCCTACAGGAGCCCTGGGTGGATTCTTGGGTCTGGGAGACCCAAGTGACCACTCCTGGTGTCTTAAGCAGGCACCTCTTGTTACCGTCTGTCCCACCCTGGCTCCTGGCAGTCAGGCCCCATTGCTGCACTGTTTCTAGAAGCCTCGCCTGTAGAGACTTGGCCACAGACCGTCTGGGTTGCTGGGGACTCACAGCACCTGCCACTTTATTTTTCCAAAGTGCTAGACCTGTGAATGAGGGAAGCAGGCAGTGGAAGCCAGAGCAGGAGCCAGTGTTTATCAATCTGCCGGCTGCTGGCACCGAGCAGTCTGTCTGCTCTTGGCAAAATGTCGTTCCTGTTGTGCCTGCTGAGATGGAATCGGACAGATTAAAAAGGTCTTGGCATGTCAGAGTGCACATTGCGGAGGAAGCAAGCGTGTGTGCGGCGCTCAGAGCTGTGGAACTCGGAACCTCTGTCCTGCGTTTCCAGGCCCCTGTGGCTGGCCACAGAGCATCATCCCGGTGAATCTTGTCTTTGTCCAAACTAACAAGGAGGCTGGTGAGACTGTGGAGTCAGCCAGATCTAAAACTGGGTCTTTGTCCAAACAAGGTTTTGTACAGATGGCAGAGCCTTCACTCCTCGGCTGGCTCTCTCCTTTGAAACCAGGATGAAAGTCCGTGTCAAGGCTGTCCTGGCCTGGAAGGCGTCAGACTTGACTCCTCCTTGGCCTCTAAATGGGAGTCAGAGAAGAGGGTACTTGGGGATCAGCACACAGTGGGGCCATCTTCCCATTCTTTGGGAGAAGCAAACTGGGGTCTTATCTCTCTGTAGGCAGCTGCGGCCCTCTCCTCAGGGAGGCGTGAAGAGAAGAGGGTACTTGGGGATCAGCACACAGTGGGGCCATCTTCCCATTCTCTGGGAGAAGCAAACTGGGGTGTTATCTCTCTGTAGGCAGCTGCGGCCCTCTCCTCAGGGAGGCGTGAGGATTCTTGTTCTTCTGTCTACATACATGTATTTACATATGTTGTGTTTACATATATAGTCTGTCCTCTTCTCTTGTGGGAGTGTGGGGGTATCACCATGGCAGCTACTGGCACATCCTGTGACCTGCAACCTGTGACCCATGTATTGCTCCCCTAATTCACACGGCTGCCAGGCAGGGAGGGGGCATTCTCCCTGGCTCGACCTGAGCCCAGCTCTGTGCTGGATACTAAGCGTCCTTTGCTTTGGCCCTGGACATCTTCGCATTTTCTTCATGGTGTTGAAGGAGGGTCAGAGATTCAGCAAGCAGGGTGGGAGATGTGCCCTGAGCTGCTCCCTTGAGCATAGTGGTGACCTGTGTTTTTAACCAACAGCATTAGACTGGGGATGTGGTCCAGTTGGGAGAGAGCCTGCCTAGCATGCACAAGACCCTGGTTTTGATCCCCAGCAAATACAGTATTCCCAGATCACGGTGACAAACTTCTGTCATTCCAGCACCGTCTCTCCTGCAGCTAGCTGGAGCCACTGCACAGAGAGCAGGGCGTGCAGCAGATTGCCACCCCTCTACCTCCATGGAAGCATCTCCTCAGTTCCTGGAGTCTCTGTGCAGGGCAGTGGGCTCAACTTGGCGAGGCCAGCATCACCTCCTGGTTAATGATCAAATGACGCTGCAAGGGAGCTTACTGCCCAGATCCTTGGCTCCATCACAGCGGAGCTGTGACAGTGTTAGTGTTGGAGACAGTGGGTTACTCTGAGCCCCAAGGCCTGTCCAGCCGGCATGTGTCTGTGTGCTTGCTGGTTTCCTGGTCTTTTCTGCTTGGGGCAGGTGGAGGCCAGGTGTGGTTTGGTTGATCTTCATGCCTGCAGACTTTAGGCTCCCACTTGGAGCCTTCCCAACCTTCCTTAGTAGGATAAAAGCCCCAGCTGGGCTCAGTGGTTCTTGGCCCTTTTGTTTTAGGGAGAAACCACAGAGCAGTGGGAAGGGAGAGGGTCTAGTCAGGACCCAGTCAAACTGGCCCTCGGGTTGACCTCACTTTCAACAGAATCCCAGTGCTGTCCAGGGTCTGGATCCCTACTGCTCTCAGAACACCGTGCCCCACAGACGCTCAGCTAGGCTTCCACCAGCTCTTGACAGTCATCCTGTAGACAGCAGGAGGCTGCTCTGTGCTAGGAGACGTGCTCAGGGCTGGGTACCTTTGCAAGGGACCGGTCCTCCCTGAGCCTCAGTTTCTTCATCTGCAAAATGGAACCACTGTTACTTCTTACGTGACAGGGTCTGAATCGGAGATAGAACTTGGCTAGAAATCCTAGGAGGAGGGACAGGCTATGTACCTCCATCCATTCCCTAACCCCAGATCCCTGACATAGGGACACCAACTGCTGAGTTACCCCCAGTGAATTCACCTCTCTGCCAACTCTGTCCTGGTGGGTTGGGTACAAAAGGAAGCAGGAAGTGGGTGCGGTGGAAATGTCCTTCACCACTGTGCCGCAGGCTATAGTCACACCTCCTTCCCACACTCATCAAGGAGTCAGTCATCCCTCCCTCCCAATCAGTTGACCTTAACTGCATGTAGTGGGGAGGGACAAATGATAAATGAGCGGAGAACCCCAGGAGGCCCCTCTCTCACCATTTTGTGTGGCTGTTGGGAGGTCACAGGTTCTGTATTTGAATGTGGACTTTACAGCACAACTGTAAATGTGGGGTACCAAGTAGGTGCAGGTGGTTAGGCCTGGGTGGGCGTGTCTATGTGGGTGGGTGGGATTGAGCGAAGTCAGCCTTGAGTGGGTGTGGAGGAGCTGGGTTGGCCCAGTCCGAGCTGTTGATGACCTGCTGCTGTTTCTTTCTGGCAGGTCCACAACGTTGCCTTTGCTTTTGAGCTAATGTTGGATGGAGGGCTCAAGAAACCCAAGGCTCGCCCTGAAGGTGATGCCCCACCAAGGCCCCTGGAACAGCCTTGTACAAAAAGAGGGATAGCGGGGTCGGGGGTCAGGGCTCCCTGGGAAACCTGCATGTCCTACCTGAGCATCCTAGACAGGGTAGCAGGCATCTTTCTGTGCATATTGTCACATGGCTGCAGGCTGGGGGAGCAGCGTGGGAAGGGACGAGTGGGAGGGGATGAGCGGGAGGGGATGGCAAGTGGGAGGGACGAGGAGTGGGAGGGGAGGAGAAGTGGGAAAGGACCAGTGGGAGAGGACACGGGCTGTTCTCTCTTGCACCAGTGCTGTTTCCTTCTGCAGATGTGGTGAACCTGGACCTCAAATCCACCCTGCGGGTCCTTTACAACCTGTTCACCAAGTACAAAGACATGGAGTGACAGCAGCTGACCCTGGTGGCTCTCCATCGATCCCCATTGCCTTCCCAGGAGATGCCTCCCCAGGGAGGCCACAGGCTTCCAGTCCTGATGTGCCCCCTCCCCTCCCCTCCCTCTTTCCCCTCCTCTCTCCTTCCTCCACTGTTTGCCTTGTGATTCCCCATCGGGTTAGGCCTTTGAAAACTCAGTGCGTAAATACCTGGCTGAGTTTGAGGCCTCACTTCATCATCTCTTTCCGGGATATTCTGACTCTGCTTTCTGTGTCTCCATCAAAAGATGAAAAAGAACAAAGACTAGCTCCAGCCCTCAGCCAACAAGGACGCCATCTTACGGAGCAGTTATCCAGAACGGGCTCTCTGTAGCCTCTGGCTCCAGCCCCAGCTCCAGGGACTTGGTCCTGCATGTCCTTGGGAAATCTCCCCAGGTTGGACTCTCCTTGGACGTGGGGTCTCTCTATTTAATGAAAAGGTTTTGAAGTTTGAACGACTTCTCTCCCAAGTCTTAGCAGCTGTCGATGTATGGCCAGTGTCCCCACCTGGCCTTCCTCTGGTTTCTTGGTTTTAACTGACCTTTCACATAAATGCTCATGATCTGGAATGGGCGGGTTCCCAGGGCAGCCTCACGGCGTGTCTGGGCGTCTTGCTGGCTCTGAATGTGAAGCTGGAGCCAGAACCTTCCACCCCAGAGGCCCCTGTTCAGGAATGAACCTGTTTTCAGAGACTTTACGAAAGGGCAGGGATCCATTTCGGGGGTAGCTGGACCATATGCTACTGAGTAACAGAAGTGAACATCCCACAGCGCCAAGCGCCGTTGTCTTTCTGAAGTGAGACCCGTCCCCACCCCCCATAGCATCACTGACCCCATGCCATCTTCAAGACTCCTGTCTCCAAATGCAACCTCCCTGACATCCAAGAAGTAGATTTGGGGGGTGTGACTCAGCTGGTAGTGGGGGGACATATGAAGTGTCCATCTCACTTCTCTCATCTCTCTGCTGACCCCCCTTCAGTGTTTCCTAGAAAAGAAAATGTTGGAACTCCCATGCGTGTTCACCTTGTGCCGGTCTCTACTCTGGAGGGAAGTGGGGTCCCGTGGCTGACTGGCCCCTCGTCTCTGGGTCGTACACCTGTGGCACCGCACCTCCCACCCCCCGCCCCCACGTTGTACACCTCCCCCTCTTTCCTTGAGCCCCTCGGCCTTCTCAGAGTCCCACCCTGCCACAGACAGGGCTGTGGAGTGAGTTTTAGTATTAAATTGAATGTCAGTGTTGAAGTTCTAGAAACCAGTTTAATGTTCTCCCCGGTCCCACTGTTGCTAGGCTGGGGATGGGCCTGGAATAGCCTCTCCAACGGAGGTGGCTTCCCAGCAGGGGAAAGAAAATTAAAATGGCATTACCGGGTCTCCCTGAGGGATTTGGTGACATTAAAGAGCCACGCTGACAAAATAGCTGGACTGGAACGTTCTGTGTTTCCCTCCTCACGTCCCTCCCTGCTCACAGGTGGCCCGCATCCTTGGGGCAGGAGGCAAAGCGTTTGCAGAGAACAGGGCAGTGGGGTCATCAACCCAGTCTGTCACATTGGAGGGGCCGTAGCTTTCCGGCCAGCCCCCATCTGGAGGATACGTGTCCCACTTTGATCCACATCACACACTCCTGCTTGGAGCTGGACAGTATACGGGTTGTGGGAAGCTGACAGCTCCTCTGCCTCACAGCAGAGTGGTGATACAGCCACAGACAATCAGCTGGGCCCTGTTGCATAGTCACCTGGGGGAGTGAGACCCTGGTAGCAAGATGTCCTTTCTCTATGCCCCCCAAACAGCTTTCCCATGACTGGAATGGCAATACTTTTGCGTTGCTGATTCAAGGACATCCCATAGCCTTCTAACCTGGCTTGGGCGAACATTCTTGTGATACTCCTGTAGCCCCAACTGGCCTGCCTCTGCTCTGTGTGTGCCACCACGCCCTGTGTGATATTGTTTCTTTGAACTGGGACCTGGCCTAGAGGGCTGGTAGAGTTAAGATCATTTGCCACCCCCACATGGGGGGAGCCTGCTCAGCCCTGTACCAGGAAGAGTCCAGTCTGCACCTCCTGGGGCTGCAGGCCAGGACCGGGGATGCTCCCCCTCGGTTCTGTGCTGAGCGGTGTGTCGGCCCCCTCCACCCCGTTGGTCTCGGCTGGACTGCTGGCAGCTCTTGTTCCCCTTTCGAAGACAGTTGTGCAAGCCCAACCCCAGGGCCCCATGGCATCCTGATTAGTCTGACAGAGTGATCTTATTTTCAAATAACAGAACCTTTCCCCCACTCTTACTGTCTTTTTAATTGTTCGAAGCAATGTGTCCTTTGGATTTCTGGATATTAAATAGAAGCCCCTAAACCTCCAGCTGTGCTTTGATCAGAGGCGCCTGGTGGACAGCAGGGACATCTGTGCTTGTGATGTGCTGCAGCTCAGACCCAGTGCTTCCTGGGCCAGGGACACAGGCAGGGGACCGGCATGGGTGTCGGTGGGCTTCGGCTCACACCGTCAACAGCTCCCGAGCACCCACTGACCTCTGGCTCTTTTGGCTGCCACTTCCCACACATTTGACTGTCTGTTCTTTCTGCCCAGAGCTGAGGTGGCATCATTCCACACTGCCTGGCTGGCTTGGCCTCTCCAACAGGTGGATGCTTCCAGAAGGCTGGAACACCACAAATAAGAGACAGACACTGCTGTGGGCCGGAGCATTCGGGGTCCCCTGCTCTCTCTTTGGAAGGGATAAGAAGTTAAAAACACCCCGAACTTGGTACTAATACCCTCTCCCCCCACCTCCATGAGGTCCTGGGCCACCTCAGGTGCTGATGGTCATTGAGATGCCAGGACTACAGGATGGCTCAGAGTTCAAGGCTAGCTTGGACTACATAGTTCCAGGGTAGCCAGGGCTATAAAGTGAGTCCCCAGCTCTAAACAATCTTTCCCTGATCCAGCTTTGTTTCCTGTGAGACTGGTGGGTTAATTTGCCTGAGCCCTTCCAGCTCAGTTTGGAGGGACAGAAACCAGCCACCCTCGCCCCTCAGGCTGTGCAGCAACGTCTGGAGGTGGCTTAGTTGTCTCACTCCAGGAGGACAAGACACTGGCCTGTTGTGGAGGCCTGGCTTGCCGCCCCACACCCTACAGAGCGCACAGTACAATAGTCTGCCCTCCAGTGTTTGTGCTTCGTCTGGGATACTCTGAGGCAGGCCACTAGCACCTAGGGCAGCGGGCTTCCATTTCTTTATGGGGGAGGAGTTGTCTGTTATTATTGAGGAAGGTAAACATTTCCCCTTAGGACCTGGGACTGTAGCTCAGTTGGTAGAGTGCTTGCCTAGCATGCTTGTGGCTCTCCTGGGGAAGCTGAGGCAGGAGGAATGCTACAAGTTCAAGATCAGTCTGGTGCATGCCTATAATACCAGGGAGGTGGAGGCCGGAGGATTAGGAGCTCAAGGTCATCTGTTATACAATAAGTTGGAGGTCGGTCTGACCTGTGTGACTCCTGGTCTGAAAATAAAAAGGTGCTGTCACTTTGGGTACCATTTCAAGGCCAATCATCACTGGTTTTCCTCAGAAGGGCTTTTTATCCAGGGTCTGGTTGGTCAGGTCAGAATCTGGGTGGCATGGCCAGGGATGGAGCTGACTGGTTCAGAGTCCTGGATCAGGTGACTCCTGGTGAACGAAGGTGAAGAGGGCACAATATGGGACAAACCTGTGTGGGGGTAACCAGGCCCTGGAGCAGGGGCTCAAAGCCAGCTAAGAACAAGGAAGACAGTGGTTGAGGGTTCCTGAGCTGCCCCAGGCCTATGGCCAGCCTCTGTCTCTCACAGAAGTGTTCTGTCCCACCGGGTTGGTCCTCTGTTGTCAGGCACCCAGGAGAAGCCCCCAGTTCTAAATGGTTTCTCTGCTTGGGTGGGATCCCTCTTCCCCTGTGGCCCTCTGGGAAATGTAACTACAAGTGACCACTTGCCCTTGGCCACTGGCATCATCTGGAATTCAAACAAGGAAGGTGGCATCTGCTGTGAACAGTCCAACCCTTGGGACCTGGTTCAGGTTTGACGGGGCAGGGGAGTTGCTCTCTGCTTTGCTTGAGGTACCAGAAAATCCCTCTGTGAGTTTGAGTGGTTTCAGGATGTTACCGCTGTTGTCCATCCTGGGTGAGCTTTGCTCTGGGCAGGAGTTTGGGGAACCCCATGGGTCCCACACTGAAGGATCTGGAAACATTTACTGAAAACCTACTGTTCGCCACTTCCCATGCTACACTCACTGGGATGCAGCAGGAAGCACGGAACATGGTGGGGGAGGTAGAAGGCCCACCTAGAAAGACAAGCTAGGGCGATGTGGAGCCAGGAACAGGGGAGATGGAGAGATAAGATGGCACAAGAGACGGGGAGGGGGCTGCAGCCTAGGAGGAGCTGGAGAGAGCCTACACCATCTCGTCCCCACCCAGCTTGGATTTCAGTGGGTCATGTGGTTCAGTTCAGCGGCCTCACCTACGGGGAAACAGGGAAACACTTGCTGGTCCGTTTAAGTACATGTCGCCTCGGTTGACACAGTGTGCTTCTCAGAACTGCCCCACGAGACACTATTGTGCCAAATGCGCTGAGAAGACTCTGCCCAGCGACAGGCAAGCTGTGTGCCAGGGATGGTGGGGCAGGCCAGAGCGACGCTGGATCAGAGCCTTCTCAGTTTTGGGTGATTTGAACACTAGGAAGAACTGTGCATTAAAAAAACAAATATGCTGAGCACTGTGGCAGTGTGCACCTCAGCACTCAGGGAGGCTGAGGCAGGAGGGTGGAGACTTGGAGGCCAGCCTGGGCTACATAGGCATTCCAGGGCAGCCTGGGCTACAGAGTGAGACTGTCTCAAAACAAACAAAGCTATAGATAGACAGCTAGATGGTAGATAGATAGATGGTAGGTAAACAGATAATAGGTAGGTAGATAGATAGATGATAGATGATAGATAGATGATAGACAGAAGATAGATGATAGATAGACAGAAGATAGATAGATGATAGATAGATAGATAGATAGATGATAGATAGATAGTAGGTAGATGATAAACAGGTAAGTAGATGATAGATGATTGACAGGTAGATGATGAGCATGGTGTGGGGGCTTCTTTCCACATTTTATTTTTATATAATATTGAGCGTACAGAGAAGTCACAGGAGTTATATCAAGTCCCCATGTTTGCCTGATGTCTGTAAACACTGCCAAGTTTCCACTACTACTTTAACCTATTTCCCAATCTGCATTTTCCTCTCCCTGCCCTCCCTTGCTGTCTCTGGATATTTAAAGGTGTATTCTGGTTGGTCGGTCTATCTATCATCTATCATTTATCTATCTATCATCTATCATCTATCTATCTATCTATTATCTATCTATCCATCATCTATATCTGTCTCTATCATCTATCTATTATCTGTCATCTATCTATCTATCTATCTATCTATCTATCTATCATCTATCGGTCTATTAGTCTATCATCTATCTACCTATCATCCATCTATCTATCTATCATCTATCATCTCTATCATCTGTCTATCTACCTAGCATCTATCTATCTAGCATCTCTCTATCATCTATCAATCAACTATCTAGCATCTATATCCTATCTATCTATCATCTAATCTATCATCTATCTATCTATGATCTATCTTTCATCATATGTCTATCATCTATTGGTCTATCTATCTATCATCTATCTGTCTATCTATCATCTATCTATGTATCTATCTATCATCTATCTATATCTATCTATCTCTATCTATCTATCATCTATCTATCTCTATCTATCATCTATCTATCTATCTCTATATATCTATCATCTCTATCTATCTATCTATCTATCTATCTATCTATCTATCTATCAT